TACGTATCTATTATGACCTTAAGTGCTCTTATATATTCAAAACCCTATTCAGGCACAAAATGTGTATAATCTCAGCTCTGAACATTTTTTACCTCTCCACACATAACCCTTACAATAGGCATGGGAAAGTACTACTATCACATAAGTCTGCCTACTAAATACTCAGTGACCGATCATAAAAACCGCGTCTTTAGATACCTTCTCAGCAGAAGAAATCAAGATAAGGCAATTATGTTACATATTATGTCGTATCTTACTTTTTGCTGGGTAATTAATCTTATTTAAAGAAATACTTTCACAGGTTTTGTGTAGTATTGATTGCCTTTTAAAGAATTTCTTTAATTTTTAATTTTTTGTTGCTAAAATGAAGTATGCTTTTATAATAATTATAATACTAAAGATTTTTATCATCAGATATATGTCACAATAATTTTTCTTGACTAGTTGTAAATCTCACTTACACATATTTCTGTCTTCTCTTTTATTACTTATGTGGAAATAAAAGTAGTAATAAAAAACTTAAAAAAAATATTTTCTGGCTTGAGCTAAAATATATTTTTCTAATTAATACAAATACATACTATATACTCGTAATAATAGTAGTAAATGATTTATATGTTTGTCTTTGTGGAACATTAAAAGTGAAATTCATAATTCACGATTTAGTAGTTTTCGAACTTAAATTTAGTCAGTCAGTCTCTATGTTAACTCACTTTGATAACTTTGATTATAGGAGTATATCATTACCAGTGTCAGTGACACTATATACTATGAGTGCAACTATCTGACAGAAAAAATTTGAAAAATTTATGAGTAAGAAAATTGAACGAATGCAGATAATAAATTACTCGTACTTTAATGACTACAGCGGACTTAGTTCAGTGTGACATTTTCTACGTGGAAAACCTCAAGCAATGTGGTTCACAAATTTGATCTTATAAAAATCAAAGAAAAATATCAATAGAAATTGTTATATTTATATATTATGCAATCGTTTTTTATATATTTCAAAAAACAAAAAACAAAACAAAAAGATTTGATCTATTTATAGTGCCAAATGAGCTAATAAGTGAAAGTCTGACAAAAGAATTAATTTCATTAACGGCTAACAGCATTCATTGCAGACTTTGTTTGGTTCAACTTCAAAATCGACATATGAATGAAACCAAAACTGATTTCCATTTATTTTATGGAAATTAAATTATAAATCAATTGTTAAATATCAAATTATTTATGCACAATTATTATTCACACTGCACACTATGCCGCACTGTGCCGCATTATGAGAAAACGCATTCGATAAGCACTACTCCAAGTTTTTTTTTAATGGAGTACAATCGATTTTTTAGGACTGGAAATAGACATATACACAGTTACTCATATGATGTATGACCCGGCCTATAACAGATACTTTACATTAAGCGTCAGAGTGAATTATACAATTTCACGCAACGCAACAAGATACTTCATTGAGTAGATAACATCCACTTCTCTTACTCTAATTCGCATTTAACGAGTCAATGGACCATGCTACCATTGACCATTTCCACGCTCCAGCGGCAAATAAAATATGACAAAACCGAAAGTGGCCATAAAAAGCATTTACCACATATGCCATTCAATACTCCAGTCGAGCCAGAAAGTAGCAGAAGTCGAAGCCGAAGCAGAAGAAATGTTGTAATAGAAGCACAATAATAAAAAAAATAAGTAAAAATAAGAAAGTTTAATTTGAAAACACGGCAAATGAACGCAAATGAGACATACGAAATTCGAAGTCGAAGTCGAAATTGAAGTCACATATTTGTCAGTCTTTTCTTCGGTGCGGCGGATTGTTTGCATAGCCAATGTCTACGTAATTGCAAATGACAAATTAATTTTGGCTTAAAAGTCACGGATGTATTTGGCTGTATTTCTGTCTTTATGGTCAATATGTATTCAAAGTCGGAAATCGATTTTACAGCAAGAGAAAACTAGCCAGAGAGGAAATTCGTATTTAAAAGCTTTTAAGCTACGACTTTATTCGACAACGGTCATATCGGCAATGTAACAAGTAGCGATACACTATATCACATTCCGATATAATAATATGTATACAACATTAAGAAAAAATCATACATTTTCTTCAAATGCTTGTAAATATTAGTCAAAGACTTATATTGGATCAGGCATTCTAATTAGCATCAATAGTGATATATAGTAATCATGTGACGGGTCTCTTTTCGAAGCCGTTGTTGTGATCAAATCAACAAAGACTACATATTTCGAAATGTAAGTTCTAAGTAACCAAAAATATAACAATCATAATCTTAAACATCATTGCTAAAATATTTAAATTAAAACAACTTTAGTTAAAGTTTAGAGCTGAATTCACAAACACAGTCATAACTTAAGTCTCAATACTAACCTAAATAATTCTGAAGTCATTAGATGTGCTAAGTAAATTCGTATTTTTTAAGACTTACAATTGTGCAACTGACTGGGACATCCAGGTATCAAAGAGTAAAAGTGCCCAGATGCGCTAACTCAGAAGAGACTCAACATTAGACCTCGTTATGTATTACCTATTTATAAATATTTATTTTAAAGTTGAAATACAAAAAAAAAAATAGTAAGAAAAACGTGCTAGCTAACTGCACTAAAAATAACAAATAAAAAAAAAACATGCATTTATACTTTTAATAATATTTAGTAAGATTTAATTTATTTGTTATAATTTACCACTCATTCATGCAATTAGCTTACTTATAGATAGCAAATTAATACTGAAAAAAGTGATGTTATAACAAAATAAAATAACAAGAGACACAAATATTAGTTAACAGACCTAAAAAAAAGAAAATATTAAAAAAAGAAATAAAAAACAAAAATGAAAAAGTGCTAACTAACAGCAACAGAAAAACAAAAGAAGGATCTTCAAAACAAATTCTGTTAAAAATCTTTCAATAAACATTTACAACATTAAAACACGTATTACTTTCAAGTACTTATAAATTTTGAAATTTTTAAATTCAAAAACAAAAATAAGTCACAATATCTTAAAATTCGTTTCAGTTCCAAGTTTCAGTTGCAAGATAAACCCTTTCAAACCCTTAAATGCTCTCCAGATCGAGAGCACCAGGACGAAGCACCTGTTAAGTCGCTTAAGACTATTTAAATGGATGGATTTTAATCGAGTAACAAACGCACACAATCTTTTAAACTTAAAAGATTTGATAAATCTAATTATACCGAAAAGGATTCTGATACCTTTCTGAGAATTTGAAATATTGATTGCTAAATGAAATGTATTAAGCTGGTGAAAGATAGAAGAATAAGAATATGTTAGTGTATTAGATAACATTAGCAAATGCATAGAGTGGACATAGATTTTGTTTTAAAACTGATTAAATTTCTTAGTCGTACCGTTTTAAATTAAGCCAACTTTTGAAAACTCGCAGAAAACCTTGTAAAAATTGAAAAATATTTCTGAACTGGAAACATGATAAACCAACCTCGATTAATGTAAGATTTAGCATACTGTTGACATTTCGGACAAAAACGGATACAATCTCAAGAGTTTAAGTTTAAAAAGCGCTTGTTCTCGGGTCAAGTATTGCCCATTGAGATGCCCTTAAAAGTACCATTGTTTTTAAATTGCTTCACGTGTTATTCTTGTTCAAAGATTTAATCAAACGAATAAAGTTAAGGAGATCCAATCAGCCTACTTTCGTTAACTCTGCCAATTCAGTGAAGAAATCTTTACTGTAAATTGCGATTTATCTTTAGTCCCGAGTCCAAAGAAGCAATAGCCAACAGGAGATCTTTGCCTAGGTTTTCACTATCATAAGCTTCCCGTAACTTTTTAGGAGAATGTTTTGTTTTAAATATATACGATCTATGATATATGCGATCAAATATTTAACTTTTAGTTGCATCGAAATAAGAACCCCTTTTATGCTTTAGATCTCAGCATCGATATTAAAAAATTTACATTCTGAGAAAATTAGTAAATTGTTAATACTCACGTTGAATATGCTTCAGGACATATTTAAAGCAATATAAGTTTGTTCTAAGTCCCCATCAATTCAATCATAGCAATACTAAGTATGAGAATCAGCACAAAAGATCTGCAATGATCGCAGTGCTCTATTCCGATAGGGGTGAGTATTTCATTGATATTTATTCTAAATATGAGAATTAAACCAATGCTCTGTAATAAACAAAACTAAATGTATTTGGAACGAGATCTACCAGAAGAAAGCAAAACAATATCTGAAATCATCAAAAATGTATGAGTATTATTTTTAAATCAGGATTTCTCAATCGCTAAGGACCACCTAATGCTTAACTTATGCATTTTTGCGTTTAACGATATTATTTTTAGGAAGGCATTGGTACCGGTCATTATAAATCACATTGACTATTTTTCCTACCCGCACTTGAATGTTTCGGGTTGAAAAACACTGGTTCAAATGACAGCACACATTTGAAAGCAGTTGTCCATTGGGTATGTGGAGTAAGTCAATTACTTACTTACTGTTACAAACTGGTCTGACTGATAGCATTATGACAAAAGTTAAACATACAGGAACTGTAAATTGATTCAAAATATACTAACAGACGAGACAGATAATTTCAAAAATATCCATTTAACTGCAATATAGAAAATTTTAAAAACGTAAACGCAATTTCATTAAAAATTTTTAAATAAAAAATAATGCATGCAGTTGCACTTCCCTAAACGCACAGACACGTTTGAATAGTCGAAAACGGTATGACAACTTGTTGCCATGATGGGTCACCGGTTTGTGTTAGCAACCATGAAATCAACTTCACTTTGGATTACGCAGCAAAGGTTTTGTCAATAACAATTTTCTGCAGTGAAAGTTGCAAAACTTAATAAAACTAAACTAAACTAAATCAACAATAACAATTAAAAATATAATAACAATAATTAAAATTAAGTTAAAAACGCTTATAAAGACTCTATTTAATTATTTTTATTAAATAAATTAAAGAAGATGAATGAAGATTTAGGGTCAAAGGGTTCCGACGATGAACCTCTTGTGCCTGATGAGATTGATGAGGAATTTTTTACAAGTTTACTAGAGAAAGTACCAGAGGTTAAATATGCATTTATGTTATATTAAATTACATATTTTATATATAAGTACCACTTTAATTTAACTTTAATTTTTCATTATAATCATATAGGTCACAAAATTCCTGCGCCAAAAAGATGAACAAGAAAAAACTGATAATGTCCAGCGTTTAGTTATTTGCTCTAATCGCTTCAAATCAGATTATCATCAAGAGCAAATTCGTAGTCAGGAGCTGAAGAATGATATAGCAGCACTAAATGGACGTCTCAGAGAAGCAGCCGAACTGAGCGAATTAGACAAGGACACAATTGCAGAGTTAAGAAAAGTTATTGGTAATTCAAATGCACTGTATAAATTACATGATTTAGTATTTATGTTTATTAATTTATATTTGCAAAGAAACTGCTTGGAAGCAAAAGGATGCAGCACAATCACGTGAGCAGGCAGCAAAGGACGAGGTGGTGCTTTTACGAGAGAAAGTAATTACAATGGAAGAAACCATTGAACAGCTGAATGAAACAAGAAAAACTTACCAGGGGTAATTAAATCAAATAGTTTCATAAATCTAACATATAATTATTTTCTTATAATATATATACATATATATCGGTGGTGCTATATATAGCAAACAGAGTGATAAAACTGAAATCGATGAATTGAATACACAAATCCACGACATGAATAAGCGGTTAAATATCCAGCGCATGTATACAAATGAGGTAGAAGGTATGACACAGACATTGGAGGAAAAGAATAAAGGATTGCTTAAATTATTGGATGTGAGTCTGTTTCAAAAACTTGTCTCTCCACTAACATTTTCTTATATTTATTTTTAGGAATTTTCAACTGATGCTTATAGTAACAAAAAACTTATAGATCAACTGCAAACTGACTTAACTCAAACTAAAAGTGAGGTTCTGAAATATACAGAACTGGTCACCACCACCAAAAACCAAAGTGATCATTTGATCAAAGTAAAAGTACGACAAAATTTACAGATCCTTTCACTGAAAACCAATTTAGAACATTTGAATACACAACATAATGCTACCTGTAATAAATTGGCGAAGATTATAGTTGATCTAGAATATATGACACAGGAACGTGATAAGCTCAAAAGAGAATTGGCGCAGCGTGTGAACCTCTTGAAGGTAATTATAAATCGCTTGAAATAAACAATAATAATGCGAATATTATATATCTGGAATATATAAAACTTTAATTCTAGGTACGTGAAGATGAGCTCATCAAGTTAAAGCAGGAAAATGCGCGAATTACAAAATCTCAAGAAAATGCTTCACGGAAATATGCGAATATAGAGGAAACTAAACGATCGGCTGAAGAAATTTCCAGCCGCTTGAAGTTAGTCTTCGTACTAAATACTTGTTTCACATAAATTTATTTTATTACATCGTTTTTAATTATCAATTTAGAACACAATTAAATACTCAAGAAAAAGAATTGGAAGCTATGCGCCGTGTTGTTCATCAATTCGAAAAAAACAATAATAATCTGACCCAAGAACGTGATCTTCTCAAACGTAATTTGTTACTAAAACAGCAGACACTGGAAGAAACTGAAAATTTGGTACAAGAGACAAAACACGAAATTAAGGCCTTACAGGAGACAATAAATAATATGGATATGAAATATAAAAAACTATCCAAGGACTTTGCGAAAGTAGAAAAGGAAAAATCAAAGAAAAATGATGAAATCCAAACTTTGATTGACAAGATTGACGCACTACAAAGTAAGTTTAAAATTTTAACAATTAAATTATGATTTTTATATAAATTTTATCAGAAATAAGTTAAACCAAATTTTAGTTTTTATAAAATGTATCTGAAACATCAAATTCTTTCATTTTCTTTGTTCAATTTCTGAGATTATTAGGAATACAGAATATTTACCGAACCTTCATCGAACTGAAAGAGATCGGGGGTGAAAAAAAACGGGTTTAGATTAGGAGTGCTTTTCGTTGAAAAGTACAACACATTTCGTACCACAATAATTATGGAATGCTCTGGTTATAGATATGGGTTCTGCGTTATGCTACAATTTTCGGCAAAAATTACAGACAAACGAGCAACCCCGCTGCTTCTGACTTGGGACTTTCAATCTAAAACAATTTAAAGATTGTATGCTTATAAGTGAAATTAATTTAAGAAACATTACCGGAATTCTGACAGAGCTGGAGACGAAGCTTACGATGCAAACTGGGGACTTACTCTAACGCAACTGTGTAGGTTGTTTAAAATATGTACTAGGAGTTCGTAAATCTATATAATGTAGGGTTAAAATTACAATTTATAGCATCAGTTAGATTTGGAGAAATTCTCTGAATTATTGAAGGTTCTAGGTCGCGGTGTACAATTGCTTAATATAATAATTATAGTCTAATTCCTATTTCAATTTGCAACGAACAAACTAGTGTTTAGTACAAACTGCTAAGGTGATTGTGTTACTAGCTCTTCATGTAGTTATGACAAGATGTTATTACAAACTATTTTGTATTCACTTTAGCCCGTTGACAACTCCTTTGGTCTTTCGAGTCTAAGTTTTTGTTGCATTGGTGTCAGATCTTGTGCATTGGTGTCTCCGAACTTGTAAGGCTTATTTTAGAATATGCATCGGATGCTTCGTGGGGATAATTTCAGTTCTTTGGACATTTGATTACCACTATGATATAGATTTCGTTCAAGTCAAGCCTTCACTTTCCGAACCATTTCAGGTAATGTTGTTATTTTTTCGTCTACGACTATAGCGTTTGGCGGCACTGCCTGTACTATTATAACGATTTATGGTACCATACACAAACATTTTATTCCCTTTGAGATGAGCTCACTAACAATAGCTCGTTCTTATTTTCCAACCAATAATTACACCATTGCATTTAAATTCCATTTGGAATAACATTTTGTTCTATAAAACTTGGACGCAAATGCTTGAGGTAGCTTATGAACATTATAAAAAGCTGTCATTCGTATGTATCTGTCATGCAGTTGGTAATAATAGTTTGACAGATATATGAAATAATGGAATATACCTTCTCGTATGTCTTACTATTAAAAAATTATTTAAACATATATATTTCCATTATTGTTATCGTTTAGATGAAATTCGCCTAAAAGAAAATTGTGAAATAGAATTAAAACGCACTGTGGCGGATATTGAAGTCAAATGTTCTAAATTTCAAGCCCAGCAAGATGCACTCGTAAATGAAAAACAAGTCATTCAACGCACGTTAAGCTCGGCTGAAGACGATAAAACAAAAATGAAGGAACAACTGACTAATTTGCAGAACAACGTCGAGACTTTAAAATCAAAGGTAAGTTATAGGGATGCAGAAATTAGCAAACTACAACTACAAATCGATAGAATGGAAAAGGAGCGACGTTATCTAAAAACCAATATAAGACATTTCCAATTAGGACATCAACATACCAAATCTGAATTGATTAAGAGAAAGAAAGAAAACGATCGTTACTCCAAATCCGCACAGGTCAGCGTTTACAATTTTATAAAATTATTAAATTATTTGTTATTTTAATAACTAATTAAAATAAAATGTTTATAATATTATTCTATAAACTTTTTATTGACAGGAGGACAATATCAAAATAGCTCGTCAAAAGAAATACTTTGACAATCTTATGGATGAGAAAAATTCCATAAACTCTGCACTAACTAAGCGTAATGAGGAATACACACAATTAAAAGACAAATTAGATAATTTGCAAAGTGTTTACGATCAAACTGAAAAGCAATTCTCACAGTGCCAAAGCGATATGCGAATAATGCGTTTAGAAATCAAGAATTTACGAACAGAACGCAATGTACTACGAAAGGATCGTGAGAGCGCTGTGGATTGCAGGCATGAGCTCCTCCAAGTACATCGTGCACTCAACCAAGAACGCATCAAAGCACGTGCATTGCAGGATGAAATGCTGACACCAATGAATATACATCGTTGGCGAAATTTGGGCGGCACAGATCCAGAGAGATTGGACCTGATTAAACGACAGCAAACATTACAAAAGTATTTATAACATATCTTATTTAAAATTTATAATATATAATAAAGTAATAATTTTTGTTTTCTTAAAGGCAAATTCTTAATCAAAATATTGCTTCTGTGGAAAAAGAACGTGCACTGCAGGAATCTCAACAGTTATATGGCGCTCTAAAGGAATTTATGCTCAAATTACCCAGTTACAAAATCAAGGATGAATTAAATGAGCTAAAGGTTTGCAATATATTTTAGTATTATTTACATAATAAGATTTTTAACTATTCAACTATTTTTAAAAGGCTACACTTAATCAAAAAGTAAATATAATCAAAGCATTAAAGGCAGAACTAGACATTAAAAACGTAGAAGACAAAGGTCATAACAACAAATTGGAAGAGCTTCAATGTCATTTAAATAGCACTAAGATACAATTGAATGAAGAGAAGAAGAAGAAACAGAAACTACTGGAAGAGCGTCAGTTACTAGTGCAAATGCAAGCACAGTGCTTTTCTGCTCCACCAAATACACACCGGGTTTTGGGTGGCGGATTTAAGATTGTTGGAGGAGGATATTAAAGTGAAATAATTATTTAATTAATTTTTGGTTGTAAATTACACTTCAACAAAATAAATTTAATTATTTTTACAATAATAACAAATACTACTAATACTACAAAGTATTTCAAAATCAGCAATTTAAATTTATTAATTAATCAAATCAATTGGACCACAATATTAAACCTAAATTGTCACCTAAAAATTATTTGTTAAACATTTTAGATTAATTAACATTTATGAGACAATTTCTGTTTAATAGAAACTAACTTTAATAATTTAACTTAAACCAAATCTAATCTAGCACATAACATTCCATTTGGATCAAATATAATGGCTTGAAAATTACAAAATATCCCAATTTTAAGCCATCATTTTTGATCCATACGGAAATCATTATTAAGACTATTATAGTGTTCTTGGAGTTCCTTCTTGATCGTTTTTAGCAATGTTAATTACACCCGGTACCAGACATGATCGATCATCACTGGATTCAAAAATGGCTTCCACATAGTTTTCAGTGGATATTTCTTGAGGTTCTATATGTTCTCCACGCACACGTTCTTTTTCTGTCATTTTCGCCACTTGTGACCTGAGTTCATCAATTATGCTTTGACGTGTTTTTAATTCAACTTCACAAACGCTTAATTCACTTTGACATACTTTCCACATTAATGTCCGTCTCTCCAAAACCCGCTAGAAATTGCATAATTGTAAATATATAAAGTATAATAATTTAACCAGTAACTTACTTTACAATCCAACAGTTTCCTTTTCACATCGCTTGCTGGTAATTTTTCCACAGATCTTTTCAAAGCATCAAACATATTTTTCGTTTCATATAGTTCTTTTTCTATATTACCTCTTTCGACATGTTGCTTAAGATTACGCCTAAAATTTTTATTTAAAGTTATTTATTTTTCTTAATTATTCTACTTACTTTTGTAAAACTTGAACTTTCTGCATCAAATCAAATTTTTCGGGATCTTCACCTCTAAGTATGCGCCAACGGTGTACTGCAGTTGGCACCTTCGTATCTTCCATTAAAGCACGCACTTTTACACGTTCTTGATTAAGTAGTCGATTGAGGCGTATTATTTCTTCTCTCATATCGGCTGTACTATTTAAAGCCCTTTTATGACATTCACGCTCGGTTTGTAGTTTGGTTATTTCTGTTTTTAGCAGACGTATGTCTTCTACACGCTGATTGTATTGTGATTGTCCTGTAAACAAAAAATTAAAAAAAAAAAATTTTATTAATAATTTGTAAAACCTAATGATAAGTAAGTTCACTGTCTTCAAATTAACTGCTATTACATATTTACTACTTATATAAATTTCATACAAATTTATAATATATTTCAATATATGGAACATGTTAAATTAACACAGAATATTATACTCTATATCTCTATATCACATACTCTATATTATAGTAATTCTCACATTACATACATACATTGTACTACATCCACATGGATCTGTTAATGAAACTACAACTCTACGCTGCATGATGTTGTTCATCTGTTGAATTGGCCTATAACAGTGATAGTCATGCCTTTTATAAGCACATATCTCCGTGTTTTGGGCACATTGGAGCAGAAAAAAAAGACTGGTTGCATTAAGGTCGTTCCGCTTGTGGTATTATTGTGTTACACTAATAAAGAGAATAACAATTGGTCCATTTTAAAACAGATAGAGAATATTACCATTGATAGTAACCGACCATTATTAGCTTAACATAGATATCTTCTATGTTATACAAGTATTACATCAAATTCCATAAGAAGATTATTGAACAAAGAACCTGAGTAACTAAAGTATATATTATGAAAATGATGTCCATAAATGAATAAATAAAATTTGAATACACAGGCAAAGAATTGGAAATGCAAAAGTCAGCTTACATTCTTAAATGCACCTCAAGGTGGCGAGTTATTAATTGGATTGCTTAGGATTTGGCTATACTTAATATACTATTCAAATTATAGTAAGTTGAATCTAAATTTTTAAATATATATCATATATATATTCTATATATATATTATATATAGAATATATATTATATATATATATATATATTATATTTGATATAATTACCTTGATCTAAAGCTAATTGTAGTACATCCAACTTTTCCTTGAGTAAAATAATTTCGTCATTTCTGCGTACCATTTGCAAACCGACTAAATTTTTTTCCTTTCTAGTTTCCTCCAAGTTTTGCTTGATTCTCATAAATTTCTTCTCATCATCGGTTATAGTTTTCATATATTGCTCATTTTTATACTTCATTTCTTTTAGATCTTGCCGCACACTTGCCAATAAATTCTCCTTATTCTTCAATTCGGATTGTAAGTCCTTCTTATCATTATTCAAACGTTCAATACGCATATTCAGTGAATTAATCTTATTCTGATTTTGTGCTATTTCATTTGTTAATTGCGATATTTGATGAGTATTTTTCTAAATTAACGAAACCAATATGTTAAATTTGTAAAATTTGTAAAATTTGTAAAATTTTATTAGATCCTAAGTCTTATGAAAAACTTACCGCTTGTAATATTCTAAAATTATCTCTTTCCTGAGTGCATGTTTCCAAGTTCCTTTGCAGTATCATTTTTTCGGAATGTACTGATTCCAATTGTTTCTTCACATTAATTAATGCGAAATTTTTCTGCTGCAATTTTTCCGTTAAATCAGTAACTTGATTGGTCTTCAGTTGCACTTGCTCTGAGAAATGAATTTGTTCAAATGTTCAGTAATTTGCACATAATTTACTTAAAGCATATTATGTATACTCACCTTGGAGATATTCTATGCGCTCTTGTAGTGATTCCATTTCTTGTGAAATTTCATCACGTTCTCTTTCTGCTTTCAAAACATTTATTTTAGCCTCATCTAATTTCACATTGAATTTATTTATATCCAATCGCAATGCATCCATCGTATTGCTCTGCACCATTATCTGATGTCTTAGATCAGCCATAATATTATTCGTTTTTATTATGTCACTGCGCAAGACATCACGTTCTCGAAGTATATTATCCTTTACTTGACGTAACTCTTCGTATGTGTGTCCCGATGTAATTATACTTTTTTCTAGAGCGTTTATTTGATTTCTAAAAAAAGTATTAATCACTTAATTAGGATGACAACAACAATAATTATCAATTATGCGTTATGCATTATAGCCTCACAATTTAAAAGTCAAATGTAGATTATTTCACCTTGCGTAATTGTAAAAGAGATTAACAAAATGTGTGGTTATTGTAGCACTAGGAGGACTATATAGCAGGAAACATGAAAGAAATTACAGAATGAATACACGAATTAAGATAAGGCTAAGATAAATTAGCCTGGATCGAGACGCAGAAGCCTTGCCACTTCAATAGGTCGGACTCAGAGATCACTGTGGCACAATTTGATGTTTGCATTGAAACATTAGAACAGATGGGCGAAATAATGGTAATATGTATATTAACAATTAACGTATTTCTTCGCAACAAGTAACTTTCTATCGCATCGCAGCGGAGACTGGTTGAAAACTTTGTTGCTATATAACCGAGGTCTTGAAGACGACACTGCAGTCATATGAACAGCTATTAATACACGTTTGTAGTCGACCTCAGTAATGTTGACCCAATTGGAATTATCATCGATAAATTCATAATATGTTGAAAGAGATCGACGGTTGCTTCTTGAAGGAAGGAATGTCGCCATTGGGATGTACATCTGTGTACCATGCAAGAATATATTGCTTAGAAAGTATTCCATTATGCTACTATACAAGAACGAGACTGCATTTTGACAAGAATAAAATATAGAAAGATGTGTTGTCGTACTTAAATTGAATTAAATTGACGGCTCAATCTATTTTAAATTTATTTAATATTTACTTTTTAATAATTTTAGCATTATAATTTAATAAATGACATTAGATAATGGTTCTGTTTGTTTACTTTAAGCATAATTTGTTAGTACACGATGATATTTGGTATACCTACTTTAAGCGTACAATTTCTTCATTTAGACCATGATTTATTTTGTTCATTTTGTAAACTTTTGATGACATGGAGCCATAATCTTGCATGGATTTTTTGAATTTTATAGTTAATTGTTGAATTACATTTGCTTTACTCTGTAAAAAAATGTTTCAATTTATTGTTTAAAATAAATTAATACAAATCTTCTCTTAACCGTGTCTTCCAAGCGTTGATTTCGTATAACTTCCTCATTGTATTTCTGTTCTTTACGTAACTCCTTGATATCGTCCTCACTTTTCAGAACTTGTTTACTTAGAAGAGAATTATCATTTCGCATTTTATCAACTGCCAGTTTCAGATGATCAAAGTCGTAAGTTTTTTTACTCAATTTGTTGCTGGTTTCATAAAGCTATTTAATATATATATAATTAAAAAAAATCATGCAATAATATTTTCATTTCTTTACAACTATGTATTTTTAACTTACATCTCTATTAACCACTTCAAGCTTTAATTCTGACCTTTGGGTAAGTTCCTTTTGATCATCTAAATTGTTTTTCAAATTTCTAACCTTAATATCCAAACTTGATTTTTCACTCAACATAACTCGTACTCGTACATTTAGTTTATTTATGGAATCCTCGTTATTTTTGACAATGTATTCCAAAGATTCACTATAATATCTTTGCAATTGTAAACGCTTCTCAAGATCCAAAACTTCACCGTTGAGACGATCACGTTCACGCAATATAATATTTTTATATTTTCCCAAACTTCCAAATCTATTATAATAGATCAATAATATATTAGAATGGATTACATTAGAATTATTTCGGGTATAATTGTTGAAATACTTACTCAGCATTATCATCTTGTTCCTGTTCTTCCTTAGCTTCATAACCTTTACATTTTAAAAGAACTTCTTGTAACTTCTCCTGTACGTCTTGCTCACGCACTAGAGATGCATCTGTCTCCCTCCAAGCATCGGCTATATACATTTAAAGTATGTAATTAACTAGGTATAACTAGGTGTGACATAAACATTTAAAAGCATACCAAGATTTCCTCTAAGTATATCCATTGCTTCTTGTGAATGCGCAACCAGTTCCAAAGAGTATCGTAATTTATTTTCTGCTATTATAATTTTAGGACGCATTTCTTCATTTTCTGCAACTTCTTCCACATATTTCGTGTGAAGCGAATATATGATATTAACATATTTCTTTATTCTTGATGCTTCGAATATTCGCATTTTCTCCATTAATAGTTGAACTATCTATTAAATTATATTAGCTTTAGTCAGTTTTGATCCAAAATTTTTTAATTAATAAACTAACCCTATTTGCAGTATCAAAAAATTCATCATTTATGTCTACGAGAAAATCTAATTCTTTCTCTTCTTCCTCCGACCATTCAATTTGTTCCTCTGGTTCAGGGGGCGGCGGTGGAGGTGCCTTTTTCTTTTTACCTTTACCTTTACCTTTACCTCCTTTTCCTTTGCCTTTCTTCGGCCCCATTTTGATCTACTTTATATAATCTATTACTAAAAACTAAAAATATATATTTAATTTGCAAATACTGAGATAAATATTTTTGAAAATTTTTCATTTAAAATCTCAAATTTTAAATTTTGACATTAATGATTTTTTAGGTATACACAATTTTTTGGTTCATTTTAATAAATTTATAGAAGTAAAATACTATTATGTTGAAGCTATTTGAGCCAGTGCACTTGAGCACTTGAGCACTTTTACTCTCTATTAACAGCGAGGTATCTTTAAAATCACTTTTTTCGTCTTGACTGGATTATTGTTTATCACTTCATCAGACTACTGTTTCCGTTATTCTGTTATTGTAAAAATTATGTCCCCAACAGTATAGAGATATGGAACATATTAGAGACTCAATAATATTTATTGTTTGAAGCTTCGATTAACATGTGTCAACATTTAGCTCGATACAGCTCGAAAATCACACTGGCAATGAAATTAAAATGAAATACATATAACCCATATTTGGTATTTAACAAGCAAATATATAACAAAACTCATAGGTTGTTCGATCCAAATGTGCGAATTCGATTATTATGGAGCTGCTTGATTATGGTAATGCTATAATAGTTCTAAACATTAAAATATATATATACATGTTTAAACCCATACTTATTGGAGAATAGAGTACGAAACGGTAAAGGATTAAATATATGTTCTTACTATGTTAATATGTTGAAAATTCTAAAATTTTCCTATTCCATTCCTTATAATTTATACCAAAATCCGCTTAATTTTGGATTATATAGAAAATTGTGTTCGCCTCCCGTTCATCACACATAAACATTTTTTTTATTTAATTACAATATATATATTTATTGATTTTTAATCATACACATTTTTTAAATAGATATATTAATATATGGTATTGTATAAACAAAAATCTTGTTTCTTCAAAACAATAAATTTAAATCACAAAAATTATTAATGTCACTAATAAAATATATACTATCATTCAGGTGAAAATATTTAGAAAATTAATTTTATATATACCCAATCAGCTGAAGCGATCTGTTTATAAAATTATTTCAATTTTGAGGCAAAAAGCTTTTTAACTCATATAGCAATTTCTCTTTTTATATTTATATGTAATTAACCTAAATTCAGTTTAGATATTTAACTTATTTCACAAATTACAACAAATTATTTTCGAAAAAACATCAAAGAAATCGTATATCAAAACTTGATGAATTTAAAATAAATCTAAAAACTTATAAAATCTATAATAGTAACAATTGTCGCAGAAATATAAAAATAATTTAAAACATTTTTCACTTTTTAATAATATAACGTTTTAGTTAATTTATACTAGCTTTTTAATACAAAATATAAGAAATTATTTAATATTAAACTGATACCAAATTTAACTAAATATGTTTTAAATTTACACATACAGCTTGATTATATTTGATATGAGCAGATTTCTTAAGTCTTAAACGTTTATATGCAATTCATAAGTTTATCATATTTTTATAAGAAAATATATATTTTATGCTTATGACATATAATTGCGGGCACATATTGTACAATTAAAATGAAACATATTTATTAAGGATAATTTTACTATATATGTATATTGACATAATTTTTAGTAATACCGCATTTGGTATATGTTCTATATTAGAAAATTAAAGAAAATTCATAAAAAATTATATCATATTAAAGCTACTATATATATATTATACCAAATTTTATATTACACTGAATATATAAGGCATTGCTAAGTGGAAATAAAACCGAAACAACTATAAATCGAAAACAAAACAAATCTTAGTTTGTAAATGTTCAAATGTATTTAATTAATCCACTTTCAAAAATTAATTAACATAATATAATTTAATATATAAATTCAAAAGCCAAATAGTAGAATACTTAAAATCTTAAAGTATAACTTAAAAAGAACAATGTAACAAAAATATATGTAAGATCCCTTAGAAAACGTTATGTATATATATGGTAAAAACGTGGAAACAAAATCGATTGTTATCGAACAGATAAGTTGTAAAAAATGCACATACATTATATTATATATAATTTTTCATTACATTTTTATATAAAATCTAAAATGTCTTTATGCAACCATTAAAAATTATTACTAATACTTCACTTAAAGGACATTTCAACATGCATTTACACTGCATGAAAGAAAAATTTAATATAAAAATTATATAAACAAATGAATACAATACACTTATACATACTTATTTTAAGCTTACAATTTTAAATTGCAATTGTTATTTTTGTAAAAAAAATTCGCAATGAATCAAATTCATCATTTTTAGACTAATATGCAGCATGATTTCTGAAAACAGGGATTCAGGAATTCAGGAATTCAGGGATTCGTTGCTATCCATAATTTGGCTGTTCTTTATATATATTCGTCTATTGTCTTTATAGACATAAAATGGTCGGCAATTTAAAAAATATTTGCAAAATACAAATACAAAGAATTTCTTTTCTGCTATTAATGTGAGTTTGTGCGTTTTAACATTTTCCCTACCCTACGATACACTCTCGTAATTGTTGGTAGATTGTTGTAAATGGTTATTAATATGACTGGTTGTGTTTCTAGTATTGGAACTTGTTGAAACAGAATTTGAGTGTAATTCACGCACATAGCAATTTCGGCATACGCGTACTGCTTTTGTCAGACCATATTTGGGTAATGGGGCCGAGGCGTTGGAGCAAACGCCGCAAAACACACCTCCGCAATTCCGACAGTGATGACGTCTACGAAATGCGGTGAATGGTGTTTGGCAGGACATGCAACGTGGTGCTTTTTCGTCTGGTATCCAAGCAGGTGGCGATAAACGTGCATTTAGTTGTTGAGCTTGCGAAATTTGTGTTGGACTAGACGGAGTTCGTGGAGCTTGTTCTGTATTGTTATTGTCGCTATTGTTGTTAACGCTGGTAGGATTATTAATATTATTACTGTTATTTAAAACTTGTTGTCGTGTTGAATGACCAAAGGCAGCAGACGCACGTTCACTTACAGGTGAGTTGCTTTCAGACGATGACGACGTCGCTGAATTGCTACCCACAGAGTCATTACGATTTCGTATTGAGTTATTATTGTGCTGATTCTGTGGTGTCGATAAACGTCTGCCATTTATATAAGTTGAGTGCCTGTGGTTGTTTTGAGATGTAATTGATGAATTAACAGTTGTTTCGTTATTTTCTTGATCTCCAAGACTACGACTTCGGCTAATATGGTTTCGTAGAACACCATTGGCAGTTGAGTTATCATTTGATACTAAATCTATTGTATTTCCACGTTGCATTGTTGCACCAGCTGAATGGCGGTTGCTACCACCATCACTACCTGCATTGTTGAACACATTGTCCAGTTCTGGATTTACTTCCTCTGCGGAATAAATGCTTTGATTTGAGCCTGCACTCTCTTGTATCACATCGTTTTCTGAAGCACGAAATTCAAATAATTCCGATTCTTTTGATTTTTCAGGTATATCAATGTTTTCTTGCGTAGGAGACATATTCATAAAAAATACGTTACGCAGAATATGCCGCAAATCTGAGGCGAAATTTGTTTGCAATTGATCAGCCACACCAGCTATGCATACGAAGAGTCGATGAAGCAAATTCTCCGTACTTCTATATGAGCAAAAAAATATATATTTGTATAACAAACTAATTACAAGTTTTAATGGTAAATTTGTTTTGTTTACTTACTTAAACCTCATACGTCCAGTAGGTTTAATAGTCAACGAAACTTCTTGCGGTGCACCATCGCATAACGAAGATGAAGTACTGCTATCTACGCTCGAGGTGTCATGATGTACAGCAGTCGAAGCCGAAGTTGAAGACGAACTAACTGCAGGTGGAGTACTGCTAATATTTTCCTCCAAAGATAACTTTGATTCATCCATACTGTATTTCAAGTCGGTATGATGACTGTGACTACGACGATGATGATGATGATGGCGACTAGTAGGCTGCCGACGACTGTGGCGGTGTGGATGATGATGGTGATGGTGGTGGTGGTGATGATGATGAGAATGACTGTATTCACTACTTCCAGGGCTAATACTGTAATTATGATGGTGTCTACTGTGTCGACGTGAACCTGTTTCATAAGAAGTACTGCTGACATTAGACGAATGTTGGACTTTATTTTCGGTACTGCAACTACTACTTGTAGAACATTTATCTGTATGTATTTGTGTTTCTTGACTACCAAAAGAGGGTTCTTCTTCATGTTTTATTGTCAACTGTTCACTTTCATCGGAGGAATTTAATAAGTTTAGTGGTTTAAATGCATTTGTATTATTTATAGCACTACTAGTGGTGGGCATATCAGCATCTGTGTCTAATATTGGTGGACTATTAAATTCTTCTTCATTAGCGATAAAATTATCAGTAAGAGGAACTTCTTGTGGTTGTAATAAGTTGCCTAAATTAGTGTTTGGAATAAGATAACCCGAGGCGCAATCAGCTGATACCATATCTATTTCTTTAGGTAAGTCTTCATCTTCATCTGTCCAATCAACCGGACTAGAAGTTGACGCTACTGATGTTGTAGTCGAAGTAAGCGAATGTGAAGGAGTAGGTGAATGCGATGGAGAAGCAGTTGGTGATGACGCAGAAGAACTATTTACAGAATCTGAGGAAATGGACGGCGACCGTGAGGCAAAATGAGTGGCATATGAAGGACTTTTGTCATTATTGTTATTAACTGACTCTTTACTCTTAACTTCATTAGCCACTTCAGGTTCAATCGAGGAGTTTTCTATCTCATTAACATTATTATTTGTATTTTCAGTACTATTATTACTCATATTATTTATAGTTGCAGAACTTGTATCGTTCACATCACAGTTTATGCTGTTAGATTTGTTTGGACTATTGTGGTTGTTATTATTTTGTTGATCTGTACTAGGCGCTTCAATACTACTTGTACCCACAGGAATCTTTAATGTAAATAAATAGTTAAATATTTCTTAATGTATGTTTTAATGTAATTTAATTAATGTACATACCTTCAAATGTATATCTTCGTTTGTACACAGTAATTTTTCTAATTGAAATAGTTCAGTTTTATTCAATTGTCTTAACAGTTCCCGTACCTTTATTAATAACGTACGAAACGGACGAAACATCTCCGACAATTGTTCAGCTGACATATCCATATTTAGTGGACCCTTAGGGTATACGACTAGACCAGTTATTATTGCCAAACGTGGAATGGAGAACATCAGTGCTGGATCAAAAGCATCAACTTTATCCTGATCTAGTAAACCAATTTGTAAAGCTCGTTGTAACGTCTCAGAGAAAAGAACACAAATGTACTCTTGCATTTCATATTCTTGTTTTGTTTTGACTTGGACCATAGCACTGACGTAACGTAACTCAAACTCAGCGAAAAGCCTATCAAAAATTTTCAGGCTTTCGTACAACTGTTCGGTTGTTGAGTCATTCATATCCAGATGTAGCTTTTTACTATTGGGTACGTTGTTACGCAAACACTGATCACGTAACAAGTTTCTTACATTGCCCAGACTTTTGGTTACCGCTTGTGCTAAGGGGCGCATTTCCTTACTTTCTTGTTCACGATTCATTATGGATGAGCCAGCAGCAAGGCATTCTGCGCCAAACCATAGTTGCCCTGCTAAATTTTCTTGCAATACTTCTTCAGGAAATTTTGCACGAAATGCACGAGGATCACGATCTTCTCCTAACAGTTCATCCATTATAAGATTTGTTATTGAAAGTACTTTGTCCTAAAGTAAGACATTTGAAATAGAGGTTAGTGAAAATATACTAAACTAAAATTGTAGATTACATACCTGCCCTTGGCGTAAACGGCTTACTAAACGAGAGCAACGATCTGGTTCTGCGCGCCCATCGAAACTATCTAACTCACTAGCAACTGCTGTGAGTGATCTGTCTGCATGGTAAAAACGAGCTAATAAGGATTTATCATCCGCCTACAATTAAAAAAGAAAAACAGTTGAAAAACCATTTAATGTCAGAGGATATGAATATTATATAAAGCATTTTATAAGCATTTTAAGAATAAGAAGAATAATTAATAAAAAGAATTAAATGAAAAAAATAATAAATTACATATACTTTTATATACTAAAGGAACGAACTACTATGTGTGAAATTTGTTTTGTTTATATAAAGAGAAAACTAAAGCGATAGAATACAATTCTTTTATTAGGCTTAGAAACTCATACATGATATATAGATATGCAAATAGCTCGTTATATAAAAAGTAAGTAAATTTGAAATAAAAAATAATATGGTTTCAGTTTAGAATAAAATCCACATTATTGTTATATATATCACAACAGGTGTAAAATTATCAACAAGTGTTTCTTAGTTTTGTACCGCCCAAGTAGTTTTTATATTTGAAATTCTTTTTTTTTCATATACATATATATATATCTATATTACTGTACTTGTTAATTAAAATAATAACACTACTCGTAATTAGGTATGAAAAAAAATCAAAGGTCAATAACGAATATCACAGGTACATTGAAGCGGAGCAGTGAATGCGGGTTCGTTGTTTGGGTCAATAAACAATAAAAATTTTAAACAAACAAAATATCAAACTCATTTGCATCAATATAAGCCGCAATGTGAAAATGAATATAAACAAAATGTAAAATTTAAAAAAAATAATAAATAAAACATAGACATGGATTTACGAATGTTTCGAATTGGTAAATACATCTTCCGATTTCTTCAAAGCAACGGAGTGTTATGACGACCTTGACTTAAACATTAAACATAAGATTGCGTATAAAACTACTATATTTTATAATATGCTATAAATATAAATATAAAAACACCTGGCGAAACAAGAAATGATATAATTTAATTTGTAAATTGTTATATATTAATCATTTTTACTCGTAAAGTTTTGTATATCAGATTAAATAATTTATTATTAATAATAATTTTGTTTTTTTTTTACAGGCTAATTGGTTAATAGTTAAATAACAAACTTTTTTAAAAATTTTTATTAGTTTTTAAATGATTTTATTTTAACCGATATTTGGACTATAATCTATGGTCATCAACAGGGTACTATAAAATTTCAATACCCTGAAAATGACTATAAATTAAAGTCGATATATCGGTTAGAATAATATCTTTTAAAAAAAATAACAAAAATTTAAAAAGTTTGTTATTTAAGTATTATTAAAATTTTTTTGTCATTAAAACAACAAATTATAATTTATTATTATAAAGATATATATTAACTTTCCATTCGTCCAGCTCAAAAACTGTGAGTTAAGCTTGTATTAAATACACACATGGATAAATTTACATTAGCCGCTACAAATTAAAAAATAAATTAAATCTTTTAAGCTTTAAGAACTTGAGTAAATTTTAGAGATTCTTAATAAAAAAAATTCGTCACTTATGTAAATAAAACCAAGCAGTTGAGTAAATGGGCGCTAATTGGAATTAGGGTATAGATAACACATACATACAGAATCAACTATTTCCAACCGCAAGCGATTACAGATTATGTCTCAATCTTCATAACAAGATATCGACAGCTGGGGTTCCACATTAATGAAGAAGTTGTTTTTATGATATGTATATTTTATGGAAACATAGAAAACATAGAAATTGGTGTGGTAGGGTGTCAAATAAGGAAATGCTTAATAGTAGCGAATATTCTAATTTTTTCAATAATTATTTCATTATTATTGAATAGGAAAGAAATTAACTAGCATTAATGCTGCATGTGTGCGAGGCAAGTCAATAAACGTTTCAACCGAATACTCGAAAACCAAGTCACTAAAGGTTTTAACCGAATATTCGGAAATCATATCACTGAAGATTTCCTTAATGTTACTTATAATATTTTTTAATTTTTAAATATTATTATTTGCTTAAAACCTGAAAGTCAAGACTTATTAATGAATTCCACAACACACACTACTATAAAAACAACCAGAGTTCATTAGCTGTAGTATTAGTATTACACTACTATAAAAACAACCAGAGTTCATGAGCTGTAGTATTAGGTGACCAATACGGTATTGGTTCCTACCGACACCATATGAAGCTAAGCTAGGCATTCTTGCGAATCTAAAGAGAGCTTGAATCTCTAAGATTAAGAAGAAACTACAAAGAAAACATTTATTTTAGGAATTTTAAAGTGTATTTTTAGACCAGACCTCGCTTGCTATAATTCAGGCACATATACATGCACTGTATTGGCAAAACTATATGTAAATATATTATATGTAAACTAACTATATGAAAACTATACATAAATACAGTGGAAACTCTCTTAAGCAGACTGTCGGTGTCCGGGACATGAAAAATTGAAATCTTGGGACATCGGTTAAGGAAGATGTCTTATTATGAGAATGTGTGTTTCATAGAACTTTAATGTGTAATATTTATTCATATATTAAACTTATTTATCTAATAAGAAAGTGATTTGAGAACTGTTAGAACACAACTTTATATCATAACAATATATTGTAGCTGAAAGCATTGCCATTCGTACGGTACAAAATAACTTTCAAGGTCACAGTAGTTCTCCTTCTCTGTTATAAATATTCGACGAAAGTTAATATTAATATTTTAACATTTTATTTGTCAAATATAATTTTCTTTATAACATATTTTTAACTTTGATATTAATTGATATTGGGGTAGAGGCGCTTTAAGCAATTTATGAAAATAATAATAAAAACCATATGTTTTGTTATAAACCAAATTTTGGTTTTTAACTTTCTAAAAGATTAAAAAAAATTTTAATTTTCAAATAAATTAAATTTAAATTAATTATAAAATAAATTAAAATAAGTGAACTTTTTATATTGCGGTTGTGAGCGTGTTTGGCTTGGCTTTTGTGATGCCAGCCAAGTCAGCACAAGGTAGGCGAGTTGCTTAAGCACCCAAAGACGTTCGAATAAATGACGTCACAGACAGGTTTCATTCAGATTGGCACCAACATTAAGGGTAACAAAAACAAAAAAATAAATGAAATTTAAAAAAAAATTAATTATTAAACTCTCAAAAGCTGTTAAACTTGTTTCGAATTCGCTTGAAAATGCTTTTGTATAAAATTTATAAATTCAAAAGATAAAAAACCTAAGGTAAACGTAACTTATTTCTGCCGAAGTGAGTAAATTCGTAAATTGCGCAGTTTTTAAAAATTGTTAAAAAAAATTGCAATAAATTTTAACAAAAAGCAAAAACAGTTAAAATGACTTAACGAGTCCAACAGAGCAATCACCTTCAAAGGTGGCAGGAGAGTGGAAAAATGAGTTAAATACGCTTTTAGACATGCTTTTCGACAAAAGCTGAATCAATTTCGTCAGCTGTAATTATTCCGATTTGATTAAGTATGAAGAAGAAGCAGAAATATTAATTTTAACACTTTGAAGATACCACAACTATATTTTTCGATATGCGCTTGATTGTGTTTGTTTCTTATTACAAAATTAAATAATTTCAAGGAAATTCACTAAACATTTTCCATATTTTCCATATGAAACCAAACAAAACAAAACGAAACAAAACGAATAGAAACCCAAGCAGCAAACAGAAAATTGCAAATTACGTTTCAGCAATTCTCTAAGATTAATTACATTTCATCCGCTCGAATCCAGGCCAGCGACTTCTATGTGAACTGAGTAACTGACGGATAGATTGACGTACGGATGAATCACGCTCAATGAACGTGTAATTGCTTGCTTTATTATTGTATTTACTTTTCATTTTATTTACTTTATCAATGCTTTTACATATCTCGATGAGTGGTAACAAAGCAAAAACAAAACAAAAACAAAAGCAAAAACAAAAACAAACAAAAACAGAATACTTTTTAACCAATTCTTCAATAACCCAATGAATTAAAGAATCCAAAAAAAAAAATGGTAAACAAAACTTGGAGTGTTGATATGTTCGACACGAGGGGCACGGCACTCAAGAAGATGGTCAATGGACTTTCAATGTTGAAATAACATATCAAAAATGTAAATATATATCATATATTTCATATTTTGAATGGAAAAAAATAAAAAAAAAAAAAAAACAAAAAAAAATTGTAACCTGAATTTACAATAGTTTATTTTTTACAAATAGGTTGGAATAATATAATATATTAATATAAACAAACAAAATTGAATTGATTAACTTTGGTATTGGCACCAAAAAGATTAATAATAACGCAATATCGATGAAAGTTTATCGATATTATTCAATATGATAAAATTTATCACATAACAATATTATGATTAATTAATTCATTATGGAGACAGTCTGAAAGGTTCTCTAGTATTAGAAATCATAAAATTTAATTAATTGTGTAGAAGTCTTTAATTTTTAAATAGATATTTATAAAGTATTCTGAAAGGCACTCTGAAGCACTCTGAAAGGGTCTTTGGTAATCGGAACAATTATTTAAATAGATATTTGTAAAATTTGAGAGGTTCTCTGATATTAGAAATTATAAAATTTTATTAATAGTATTGAGATCTACAATTATTCAAGCAGATACTTATACAAATTTTTTCAATCTGTTAATTTAATATACTATTAGTAACTGTTTACTAATCACATTTTAAGGTGGCAATAAATTATTAAGGAAATATTAAAAAAAATATAAGTTACAGAGTGCGGCGATCACTCTAATACCTTAGCTATTACCTGACAAAGTTAACAGCCTAATTTAGACCACAGAACAGCTGATAAGTTGGAGCCTTATTAAAAAGCTGCTGAGGAAAATTGTCGCCTCAGTTATTGATTTATATGATTTATACATTTTACATGAAACAACATCTGAACTGTTCCGAACATCGACCAGAACATGATTTAAAGGCATTATAAAAGTCCAGTGCACTACTAGTAGTTATCATATATACACTTATTAACTAATGCTATAAATTAAAAACTAAAAATATCAAAAAATTTTTTAGATATTTTATACTTTGGAATGCAA